ATAATAATAAAATAATAATAATTTTTGCAGTAGTGATAATGATAATAATCACTGTAATAATTCCACATCATCGTCATCGTAATTATCACTATTAGGATGATTATTATTATTAAACACATTCGAATTACTATAATGATTACTATAATAAATATTATATTTATTATTGATATATTTCGCGTATTTCAACGGAATTATAAAGATGGTGATGTCATCCGATGACGCATTGCAGCCGTTTGGCAACTGCCATCGGTTCACTTTGTCGTTGTAATTACCCCTCGCTGATAATGCCAGCTCATGTGCTGCTACTGTGTATCTGTGATTAATTAATTAATTAATTAACAAACACAAAAAGAACACAACAAAAAATAATACCTAACCAAACCCGCATTCTCATTATTGTTCAACACTGAATTCACAATACGCGCCACATCCTCGTTACTCAAAACATCCCACAACCCATCCGATGCCATTATCAGAACGTCGTTTTCATTTAATGACTCGTACTTATTCAAATCTATTACGTGCACCTACAATTATTATTATTATTATTATTATTATTATTATTATTATTATTACACTGAAAATTCATAGGTCTTGCACACATTTTGCACATAAAATGACGTATGTCGTACACACGATTCAATCATAATTATGGCCCGCTATATTATTCACATACCTCAGGTACAGGCGATAAAAATGGTTTGATTGGAATTTTATCATCTGCAGTTAACAGATGATGATCACCGAAACCACGACTAACACCAATCGTATTTAGTAGACGGCGCTGAATTATTATTATTTATTATTATTATCTCATTATTGTTATTATTTATTATAACAATAGTAATAATAAAAAGTAAAGTAACTACCTTGACCTTTCTACCATGATCACTGATCAAAGTTGGCTTCAGATCACTATCGCAAACCATTTTCGAAGCCCTAAAAACATTACTCGATTATCTGGTGACATTACTATTTAAACTACGCACCAACCGTCCATAAACCAATCTCGATAGAGAACACTCTTCTTCAAATCACACCGACTCAATAAACGACTATATTCATAACGTGTAAAACAGTTGGCGATCAACTCCGGATTTTTATACGCCTTAAAATATAAAATCATAAAATTAATTAGAATTAAATAATTGCAAAAAACAATAAATAAATAAATAACCAACCAGAAATTGAATACGTTTTCGTTCATAATCCGGTGTGAAATCATTGGTGATCTGTTCGATGTGATAAGAGTTTGCTGGTGATAAGCACTTATCAGTGGCGGCCTTATCACTCGATTTCGGCTCGGTGTCCACGCAATCCGACGACGACGACAACAACAGCAACGCAGCACGACAGTCACCCGCATTCGCCACGTACATTTTGCTGTTCATCAGCATTACGCTCAACACCGCGCACCCGCCACTGACGCTCTCTTTCAGCAGTTCTTCATCCTTTATTATCACTAATCTTATCAGTATTATCACCAGTCTTATCATTTTTATCACTAATCTTATCAGTATTATCACTAGTGTTTTCCCTTTAAACAAGCACTCATTACTCACCATATCAATAAACGACGCCTGTATAGCACCCACCACAAGACTATCACTCGTTATATATTTGCTCGAATTATTGTTCGAAGAGGATGCGAACAATTTATTTGTTGAACTGAATAATTTCTCTTGTTGATCCAAATGAAGCACTGTTTCGATTACTTCACTTAAACGTCTCTAAAATATTATTATATCATCACATCGTTGAATCATAAAAATAAAAATACAATAAAAATAAAACAAACTTGAATATGTTCATGCAACGTATTCGACGTTACAATGGCTGCCTCACAACCGGCGTGACCGTCAAATATTGAAAAATAAATCACTTTTGACTGTGGAATACTCTCGTTTCGCTCACTTTTCTGAACGGTACTAACAATAATTTAAGTAAATAACAACAAATAATAATAATAATAATAACAATAAATAAATACCGATTTTCGCTTCTCATCACTATCCGACAAAGCCAGTAAATCCTCATCGGAATATCGCCGCTGAATCAACAATTTATTCAACGTCGTATTGTTACGTCGACATTCGCTTGAAGCGCGTTGTGTTGCTGCTGGCTGCTTTGTGAAGAATCTTCTTTTGTTGTTATTAATCATCTTAAATTTTATATTATTATTATTGCTATTATTATTGTTATTATTATTATTAATATAAAATCAATAATTTTTCCACTTACATTCTGAGGTTTATCCAATTCCTTGGCCTCCTCGGCCTCATATCCACGTTGTAAAATGGTCAAAATCTTCGCGCAAGCGTGATCCTCATTCCTCTCTGTTTTACCTTAATTAATTTTATTACAACCTTACAATAATACCAATAATAATACCTGCATTAATAACTTCGGCATAACCAGCATGAATGGGCATCTGCGATGGATCACGTGGACAAAGCACTGGTCTTGTGCTCTGATCAGCTGATAGTAAGACGTCTTCATCAGAGAAGTACAAAAACTCGGGACGACAATAAACATTCTGCGTTTGCGGCGCTCTATCGTGATTCGTTATCACTACAAGCAGCAATCAGCACTATTATATATATTATTTTTACAATAATTATTATTAGATGAATACTAAGAGACTACTAGAACTCACTGGGCATGAAAGCATTCATAAAGAATGAACTATTTTCGGTGGTCATATCGATCACCATGCCGATTCGATGTCTGTTGTTTTGCTGTTGTCTCGATTCATCGAATACTTTTCTCGACTTATGTGTCCATGTGACATCTTGCTGTGCATTTAATTGCTGCTGCTGCTGTGTGAAGAATTTTTCGGTATTTTGCACTACTCTTATTCCTCTTCTCAATGCTGCCGATTCATTCTCATTGATATTATTACTATCACAGTCCTGTTTATGTAAATTAGAGCAGATTGATGCGCAATTCTGTCTAGTAATAGCATCAGTTACTCCGACTCCAGCTCCAGTTCCAACTCCAAGCCCGGCTCCGTGCTCAGCTTCAGATGCTGCTGCTGTTACTGCTGCAGGTGGTGGTGTCACTGCTGAACGTACTTTTGCTAGCATCTAATTCTTCTTTCAGATTTATTATTATTATTATTATAGTACACAATATTGGATGAATATTCTCAATAAATACTAATAAATAAATTCATAAAAATAAAATCAACGTCACAACAACGTTTCTCAATAACAACATACCAAAATTTCATGATCCGATCCACCCAAACTGTTTAATATTCAAATATCAAATATCGCCGATTATATTCAATCGTAACATTAATAAAAAATGCATGCACATAAACTAATGCATTACACATCACTACAAAATACACTTTAAATAAATACCTAATAAAAATTATAATAACAATAATAATAATAACAATACTTCAGTCATCTGAAGCAGTGCTGATTAAACGATTATAACCAAAACATTGAGATTCTTTCCCGAAAATGTATAAAAATATGATAAAAACAATAAAAATAAATACAAAATTAAGTGAATTAACTTCTCAAGTGACTCGAGTACCCAATGAAACACAATAAAAACGTTTCGGAATGCAATAATAATAATAACAGCAATAAATTCATCAGAATGCAAGTGCTTCTATTCATATGGATGAATAAATACAATATAAATAAAACAAAATGCAATTAACCTATCGCACAAATACGAACCAAAATGATGATCGATAAAACTCTCACTCATAATCATATCAATTTGATGATAAACTTAACTCATTTGATTAGCAATTATCAACCAATTACGATAAGCATTAAATTAATATTATACTCTCACCATATTATATATCAGCACTCAGGCAGGCTCACTCTGCATACAGTTTCTATATCCACTTCCCAACGATAATTATCATTCACACTGCACATCCATCAAAACAGATCATTCTGCTTTCGGAGTTGTATCTGTTTCCAGGCAGGCAATGCATAGAACTGCGATCGCTGCATGCAGAACACACTCACGAAGTCCGTCTCGTTCAGATACTCCTCCAAATGCTTCAGGTCGATACCCGACGGCAAATCGCGTCTTCTCAATTCATCCACTGTGAAATACTTGGTACGTTCTGCTAACAATTTATCTAGTTCACACATCTCAAATTTTACTTCCTGAAACATCCTTTCATTTCATTTCTTATTCACTAAAATCTTATTCCAATTCCAATTATCATTACTATTATTACCGTTATTATTATGGGTCTACGACAATTGACCAAGCGACAACTGTCAGCACGATGTTTCGCCACAAATAGTCGGTCACACAAACTTCGTCTGGGTTCNGAACCCAGACGAAGTTTGTGTGACCGACTATTTGTGGCGAAACGTCGTGCTGACAGTTGTCGTTTGGTCAATTGTCGTGTTCCCCATTATTATTATTATTATTAACGTTATTATCACTACCATATTATTATTACTATTCTATTATAATTATCACTATTAATATTATAGATTCCACTATGAATGATAGCTGCAATGCAATTCACAAAACAAAAATACCCCCTCGTCGTCGTCGTCGTCTGTATTATCATTCGCACAATCAAAATCATTCCACTCACAAAACAACGCCTTGAACTCGATCGGCTCGTATCGCTTGCAGATCACATAGATAGGTGCTGCCGAATCGTGTTGGCACGATTGCCAATAGGATTTCGCTACGCGAAGCGAATGCGTACTCACCACCCGTTCGCTCCATACCCATAAAATTGTGCCCTGATCCACAAGCATTGTATCTCTTAAATTATGTCAGAGTGCTACTGCTGCTGCTGCTGCTGCTATCCAACCGAGAAAAAAGAGCGGCAATAAGATGCAGCACATAATTAAATTCAAAATCAAAACCGACCTTAAATGATACTGATGGAACGTGAACGGCATTTGAGTATCCCACTGTTGGCACGGCACGTAGTCACCATCGTAATCGAATAAACGAATCAAACGTGGTGGCTGAATTATATCAACATTATTCTAATTCGAACCATTCATCAAAAAATAATACTACAAATAAAAAAATACCACAACGAATAAACAAAAAGCAAACAAGCACCAATCCCACCTGTTTCCAATTTTTTGCTGAAATAACCGCAAGTTCAATATCACAATTCTCTTGCTTCGTATCATTATCACTCGTATCACCACCATTCTTATCACTATTATCAGTGGTGTTATCAGAAGATGAAGAATAAGTGCCATCGCTGCATGATGATGAGCAGCAGCCATCAAAATACTCGATATTGAGCCGAGAATTTTTCAAACAATTCAAGACTTTTTCATTCGGTTCATTCTGATCCAATTCAATAATTTTTATCTCTTCCTTGCCATCGCTAAACTTCAAATTAAACCCATAATTATTGTTAGCACAATCTGCATTATGTTCACTTTCACCATCTGAAATCATCAACTTTTCATCATTCTATCTACATAAAATAAGTAGTAATCCGCCGATTAGCACTCGATATCCAAGTAATAATTATCATTCTTTATTATTATTATAATTATCTATATACTTCTTATGAATCAATCAAGAAACAATCCAAAAATACCTTCTACTTCATTACTTGCAGCCACAATATTACTCACCACCCTCAATGCTGCCTCACGCCATACAAATAAACTCTCTCGTCCATACCATATGAAGATCTCATTGGTTCGCCATGATATGATCACGTAAACTGCATGCGATCGCAATATCGCGTACTTCTTATTATTACAATTATTGTTAATATTATTATTATTATCGGTATTCAATTCAATCAATCGATATTCGTCAGGTTGCGTTGATCCGATTAAGACAAACAATCCAATATCGTGCCCAGATGCATTGCCGCCATCTTCACTGCTTGCAATATTCAAATGCGCAGTTATATCCTCATTTAGACCGTTATTTGCAAGTGCACGTACACTACTGTTGGCATTGCTAGTATCGTAGCACCCCCTTATAATTAAATTACCACGAAACAACTGCACAAATGCGTACGGTTCTTCGTTCTGAAATTTTATTACTTAATAACAATAAATAATGAAAATAAATAACTAAAAATACCAGTGATAAATGATAAACCTGCACAATACGCTCGTGTTGAACACGTTCTTTATCGATATTTCTCAGCGCTAATGCGCACAATCCCTGTTGTTTCTTGGTTGTTTGCAAGCCCAACCAGAAGAAGTAAACTCGTCGAGAGCGACCCGTTTTCACGTTTCGTTTCGTCCCATCTAACTTATGAACATCTTAAAAACAATCACTACCGTCTCCACTATGATATATATTCATTATTATTATTATTGTTATCACGATCACTAGCAAATAATCAATACATATAAATAACACTTACTTTTGCGTTCAATTCTGAAATCCCATTTGATGATATAGCACATGTTCTCATAAAATACACAGCACTTATTGATCGCATAATTATTGATCGATGCATCATCAGCACAAGGCCATAATTGAATGAGTTCATCATTCACTTCATTCGCAGCACCCAATTCACTGTTCAACACCCAAACCTTCAAGCCCTCCGTGAACACATTGCTCGCGATTCGTTCGATCTCATCGCCATCCACTAATAACACCGATTCTTTTGATCTATTCTCAGCTAATTTACTGCAAATTCATTTGTTTCGCCGTTGAATTACGTTCCACACCACACAACACAATAAAAACAAACCTTCCCAGTGCATACGATATCTGTTCGTCATTCGATTGATTGCTGCTGCAGTTAATCGCATGAATATTACTGATATGTTTCGCAGGTTGTCTGATCAGCGCCGTACCCTTCTTCGCACTCCTCTTCCAGTTTACGAACTTACTCTCGAACAGAATATCGCTCAGTCCTTGTGATAACTTCACCAAACTGCACCATTTCGGTCGTCGTTCCGTTTTGAAATGCTCACCGAATAATGCCCGTGAATTTGTGCTCAGATGTGCCACATTCCCATTTAACTGCAACTTTAATTCATCTCACTGCTCTCCAAAAAATTTTTTTAACAAATGCTCAGTGTTATATAAAGCTGCTTATCTGATCAGTTATATTGACAAAGTAATAATAATAATAGTAATAATAATAACAACAATAAACTATAAAATAACCCCAATATCAAGCAACGTACCAATTCCTTCGCGTAAAGCACTGCCTGGCGTGTTCCGTTACGATTCGCGCTTCTTCCATACCATACATAGATTTCGGAGCCGAAATCAAATATAAAGTTCTGAACGAATCATTAATAATAATAATAATACAAATTTAAAAAATAATACAATAATAATAATAACAATTACAATTACAATAATAATAACAAATATAACAAATGACTACTAACAGCATCGGGTTGCAGTAAACGATAATCAGGTATCTTCAAGCAGGACACAATCTCGGCTATCATTGAGTTCTGATCGATTCTGAAGACAATATTCACCTCGGACGCAATTAAGTTCTCGAACGGTTCATCGCGATATTCTCCCATCAAATTCAACAGCTCCTCAGCGTTGCTCTCAATCGAATCCGATAAACTCGTTGCCTCATTATCAGTATCCGTTGTCAATATCTTCCAAAAGTCAGCACCATCACTCAACAACGCATCACTCCGCATCTCTTCAACTCGCTTCGCTTTACATCCCAATTCGCCGTTCTTACTTATTATATTATTCACAAATTGCATACCCTCAAAACTTATTAATTACCTGGATAATTAATTAATTAAACAATAAAACTTATTCATAATCATTACTATTATAAATAATAAATAATGAAAAATAACCATTGATTTCTCCATCAGATTCGCGTGTTTACCATTGAATAAAAACAAACGATCCGGTTTAATTAGGACGAAAACTGCGTAATGATGCAGCGATGTGATTTTCGGTGCAACCAAACGTACGTCTACGTGCTTCTCACCTGATATAAAAACAATTAAATATATAAGTTATAATAAATAGCATTAATAATAATAATAATAACACACACACCTTTAATCCGAATAAGCATCACTTCAGGGTACACTCGTTTATACTCAATTCTATTCAGTTTCACTTTTGTATAGTCCAATTTTGATTGTAAACCCTGACACGATGATTTTGATTATTTCTCACAAAGATAAGCAAAAACAAAACAAATAAATAAAAGTAAATAAACAACAACCTTAATCGCACTCGGCGCAATTGCACTATTATCCATATCGTTCTCGTTATTATTACCATTCGCTAAAATCAAATCATCCACATCGAAATTATCCTTCGAATCATCCTCTCCATATTCATCTATCAATATCTGTGGTGCTGAGAACTTGATCAATTTGCTGAGCTCATCTCTTCGTTTAGATGACTCGACTCTTCGCTTGTCTCTGTGATGATGACCGCGACGCTGCGCAGGTGCTCGCGCCCGATTCGGTGTTTTCAGTCTGTATTTCTTATTGTTACCTGCATTCGCTAGGCTCTGATCAAACTGAAATTGCTGGCGGCCACAATGCTCGCACAATCTTTTTAATAAGCTAACAAGCAATTAACCGAACGAGTAATTAATTAATTACACGCCGCGAATATTGGCACTTTTTTACTTTGGTGGGGTCGCACGCAAGCACGCCCGCACATGCCACGCCTACTGCGCATGGCCTCAGCCTTGCGCAGTAGGCGTGGCCTCGGTCCATGTGAAAGCGTCGTTCGTAGTGTGCGAGCGTATGTTTTTATCATTGTACGCGAGCTTGCTCGCGTGCGACCCCACAAAGTAAAAAAGTGCTCGAATATTTTGCATAAGTGGCGCCCTTCAGCTGAAGATGTGCCGGGGCCCCTTTGCTAAAGAAGTGCCTAAAATAGATATTCCCCACCTCACAGCGATTATTCACAAAACAATCACTCGATGTCCAAGTAACAAGTAAATTATTATAACAATAAAAATATTAATAAACCAACTTGGGTGTATCGACAAGCATCATCTCATCAAAACGCCCAATACCATCAGATAATAGCTGAGGTGATGCTGTTAATAATACTGAATTATTCTCGCGATCAGTTAACGGCTTCGAGCCGCCGTAGAAGTCATCCAGACCTTTTGTGATATCAATTAGATCATTATTATTGTTATTATTATGGTGTACACCACTCGGCTCGTTCATTAGACGAAGTCTCGTTGGGGTTAGCGATGAGGTTAGCTTCGATAATTGCTCATCTTTATGAACACGAGTTCGCCACTTCTCACACGACTGCAATTTCATTTACTCTACTCTCTATTATGCACTGAAACTCTTCAATATTTTGGGCAGTTTAATTCGACGGACACTCAAACTCTGGGCAGGGTTACTCTTTTGGACAGTTTAACTTTGGGTACTTTAACTTTATCGGGTTAATTTCTACAACAGTTTTAATTCTTTCTTTTCTCATCAACAATACTTGAGTTAATATATTCGACATTTCGTTATCATCATAATTAATTATTTTCAAGCGAATAACTAAATATTTCGAATGAATACACAAGTACAAATAAATACACAAGTCTAGAATGTTATGAGGAGTGCTCCAATGAAGTTATAATGACTTACTTGCAACAGCTTATTCCTGCATTCTTCTAGAACACTATCACGATGGTTTACTGTTGAAATCACTTTATCCATTGTTATTAGCACTATTATTGTTTATGATTACTTGTTACTTTTACTATTACTATTGTTATCGAGGTTATTTTTCAGACATTCATCGATACTGAAATCAAATCGAATTTAAAGAGTATTTATGTTCATTATTTTGTCACATATAAATAAATCAGTGTAATGCCTATATCATCATCATCATCATTTAAATTCGAGTCAAAAAAACGAATATCTAAAAAAACAAAAAAAGCGATCGACGAATCAAACAACGAAAATATATCCAGACTAATCCATCCATCCAGAGCACATCACTTCATAAATGCAAACTTATGAGGTCTATTCGCCAAAACAGCATAGCACCAAATTATGAGGTCTGTTCGCCAAAACAGCATAGCGCCAAATTCAAATCACGCCCCGCCCCGTTCCGTCGCCATTCCATTAAATTTTCAACTGTTCACCGCACCAATAAACTCCATAAGGGAGCCTATCAATACATCCTATCAAATTTTCACAATAGCAGTGCTAACTCTCAACTCATGGATGGTCAAGCATTCTCGTGCACTTAAATCACTTGTAAATAAACCAATAAAATACACACGATGACTTCTATTACATGCTATTTATATGTAATTACTTGGTGTTACTGCAGTCATTAAATTTATTCGCGAACCATACACATTTGCATAAACGTTGTGATTGTAGGCTAAAGTCATAACAGATAATAACAATAATAATAATAATAATAATAATAATAATAACAATAACAATAATTGATAACATTTTAAATAATACCAATAACTATTTTATATTACAATACAAACGAACGTTCACAGTAATGAGTAAACTGAGCAAAAAATAAAATTTATAATCATTTAATGTAGAGATGAATATGATGTAATGTAATAAAAAATGACAAGCAACACCACACCGCTTCAGTATTGTCGATTTGGATCATTCTTATCACATTTTTTAAAATTTCCGCCGTTCAATTACCCAGTATAATAATGGTCAGATCTGCAATGAAATACTCACGTGTTTTACTTAACAATAATAATAATAATAACAAGGATAATAAAGACTAACCAGTAGAGTTAAAGGTAATGATCTGAATGCGCGTTGATATCACTCGTACTCGTGTGGTCAATGGATATCTGGTAGTGCTTGTTGGCGTTGTCATTTGACGGGTTTATACTGATATTATTCAGGGTACCATTCAAATTGCATTGCACTGCATTACGTTTTCGTATAATGCTCGGACCGAGCAGCAGTAGAACGAGTTGGCCTCAAATACGCTTTGATAATGGCTTAAGATAATGGCACACACACCTTACCTAACGGTGCCGTGATTATAATCGCAAACACGCAAACGGTTCGCATCATGACGGCCGTCCGATCGTCACATTCCGTTCGTTCACTACATGCGTCAACTATGTACGGAGAGAGTACGGCCTGAATTGTTGAAATGCATTCAGAATTATTGATGCTGAATCACACAAAATGAAAACAGAACCTGAATAGTTGCCTTCGAGACCAGAATCACGCTGATTAGTGCTTGTTCAGTTAACGATAATCCAGCAAAAAAGGACAGAATAAACGCTATTACTGTTCGTACCAACATTCCAATACCTGCGATCGCAAACCCTTCCAGCACCATTCTCATATCCAACTTAACATTATTATTATTATTATTATTATTGCTATTATTATTGCTATTATTATTACCTGAGCAATGCCGAAGTCATATCCAATCAATCCGAACAAGATGGGCACTGCGAACAAATCAAATAGTACTGCAAATGCTCGCTCTTCTTTGATCGTCTTAAAAGAAAACCGATAAAAACGAACTGTAAAATAAATCAAAAAGCAAATGACCCACTTTCGAACGGTTATCAATACGCCATCTCAATGCCGAGATGACTGTCAGTAGAATGCTGGCCACAATGCCCGCTGGCAGGCAATGCAACGTGTTCGATGCAAATAACGATGCGAACGACATGTTCATTATGAGCAAGAAACGCAGAAAATGACTGTAGTGACCATCGCATTTCGGGAATAACCACATCGTTACACCTATTATGTTACTTCAAAAGTTATCTTTCTATGTAAAGCACTGAAAGATGAACGAAATGCCTTTAAAAATCTACCTGCTGTAATACCAACAATCGTTCCAATGGCCAGCTGCGCGAATATTATTCCAATTTGAGAAGGAATATTTACTAAAAAAACACTAATTAAGATATTCCTCTCCTAGAAGCTGCATCTGACAAAAAGTTCCGAACCCGTTCGGGATCGAACCCTCACCCTGCATGTAACATCGCATTCTGCTACCCCAAGCGACAATTCCCAGGTTCGATTCCGCTTGTGAGCAAAATACACTTTAAACGATGAAAAGAATGCAACAAACCAGCGAAAACGACCGAAATCGATACACTAAACGCAAGAATGCATAGTAAATTGTCGATGGGGATCGAAGATATAAAAATATCACAGAAATGTGATCCAACACCGTGACCTTTACCCACCAATATTAATAATGATGGCAGTATTACTGCGGACGCACTTGGCGCTAGAACCAAGCTGAAACAGCCATAAGAATTAATTATGATAACAGTAATAGTAACAATGGCTGTAAATAAAAATAATCATAACAATAATAATAATAACAATAATAATAATAATAATAATAATAATAATAATAACAATAATGAATACGAACCTAAACAAGACAGCCATTCCAACAGACACATTAAAAATGAAATGAGCAGCTAAAACGATCGCAATAACTTCACAGAGTGTCGAGAGTACGCCCAAACGGAAAATGACCGCCTCCAATGATGAATATTACAAAACATCAATAAATGACAATAATAATAATAATAATAAATAAACGAACATTCGATTTCTTAAACAATCCCAGATCGAAACCCATCGCGGCACGCACCACGACCACACTCAACGCCGCCAACCTCAATATATCCCCCGTCTCCTTATCAATCAACACCGACTCAGCCATAAACGGCACATTTTTAAACATGATTCCCACCAGTAGCACACCTCAAATAGCACAAATTAATAACAAATAACACTAAATAGTAATCAATAATAAAACATACCCAAAAGCGCTGGAAGTCTCGTGTAACTGATCAATCTGCCCAAAATCAAAGCACACATCCACATAATCAGAAACGACATTATCGATCGATTATAATCCACTTCATAATCTTCTATTAAATCGCTTACATTATATGCTATTGGCCACTCAACTGATGATATTAAAGGATCGAAAAATGGCCTTCTCAGCACTATAATATATTATTATTACACAAATTAACAATATCAAATAATCAAAAAAAATTAATAACCACAAAACAATTTCAGTCACCAACCCGAAATAAACGTCACATAGATGGAAAAGAGCACAATTAACGATGATATCACCAAATTCGTCTAAAAATAACTAATAATAATAATAATAATGCAACAAAAATATATAATAACAAAAAATAATAAAAATGCTCACTTCGCGGTGATTGATTATATTAATAGCATAATTTCTAAAGTTCGAACCGAAATTATCCATCTTTAACTCAATTTCACTAAATCCTTCTCACGCAGTCCAAACTTTTCTAAAGCAATAAATATTACTTACGCATAATAAATAAATTACAAATTAATTAACAATTAATTTACAAAAAATCATTTAATAAACATCTAATACACAAAACAACCCTACCAAGAAGCACCTAATTTCTTCGAGTTTTGAAATGTTCTGCGTTCAATTCACCGCTTTTTATCGTCTAAATAATAATAATAATAATAATAATAATAACAATAATAATAATAATAACAATAATCATGACTGATTACTAAATAACCAGTAACCAGTAATAACCAGTAACGTCAACAGTCTCACTGTTAATCATTCAACCGACTGATTATTAAATTTATTCACCTCACATTCTCAAACATATTCTCAAAAATTATTTCACACAACCCAAATTTACTTCACTCAAATTATAAAACAACTGCTAGTCATTCAAAATAATCCAACTATTAATAAAGTTAGCCATATAAATAAACTGAACGCTATAACACCAATCAGCCATCCCATAACCATAATGAATTCAAGCCGTTCAATCAATACAATCCATCCCATCACACACCAAACCTAATTTACATATTACATTATTCATTACACATTCCCGTGCCACATCTTTTTACTATCATACAACACACACACACACACACAATCATCCTTTCAATTGCTTTTCCTAACGTTCTCATTCTCATACTAATTTATTTTTGTCACGATAATTAACTAAATTTGTGGCAATTACAATAATAATAAATAATAATAATAAATAATACTAATAAATAATACCGACGGTTTCCATAAATTTTATACGGTTTCGGTTTCCATACGGTTTCCATAAATCTCCGATTCGATCATAAATTTCCATACTCCACGATCTCACGGATATATTGTCCATACTGCTTTTAAAATTATCTACTCAAACATTACATATTGTAAATAATAACAACTATAATAATAATAACAATAATAACAATAATAATAATAATAATAATACAAACATTATTCACATTATCGGATACAAACCGATAAGACAACAAACTTTTTCGAACGGCATATGGAATCGAATTGCTTTACTCATAATAATGGTAATAGTACTATCAGTTATATTACAATAATAATAATAATAATAATAATAATAACAATTTGTTTATTTATTGTTTGAGGGCTCTCGCTTAAATTAACTCGCTAAGCATGAACATTTCTTGTCATATACCA